CGTGATATAACTGAAATACTGTTAAAAGCGGCGTTAAACCAAACTCGCTCACTCACTCGCTCACTCACTGTAACTTCATCATAAAAGCAGATAACACAAATGCAAGTTATGTGATGTTATCCCACATGTTATTGTTTAAATGAATGCCTTATGTATGCATACACAGCTTGGTATGCAAATGTCTCCTCGTGCGAGGCAGAACTTTACCTTTATCTTGCTTTTTCGACCCTCCATACGAAATCAAATATCGTATTGGTTAAACGAGATCTGATAACAACATGAAACAATATACCCAAAGAAGATCAATGATACACGCTTGCAATGAAACCGTATCGTTAAAATGGTGACGAACCTTCACGCCATACACTGAAAATTGAACCAATGCAAAGGCCCCCCGTATTGGCCCTCAATAAGAGCCCCTGTGGTAAGCCCCTGCAAACAACACAGATCGAACGCAAGCCTCTAGGTCACGTGACAGCCCAAATATGTTGTAGTGTCTGTTTTCTTTCGTCCCACTTACTTGTTTACTTGTCAAGAAAGGCATTCTGTTTGTGTCCTACATTTAAAGATACAGTACCAACGCTTCCGTATTTACGGTTGACAATGGTGTCTGACCAAATCTAGATAGTTCATTAAATATAATTAAATGGCAGGTTTACGATATGGTATAGTTCATTATAAACATAGTTGTGTCGAGAACAGCTGGCTATAGTCAATAATATTATTGTTATTGTCATTAGCATTATCATTAACATCATCACCATCATCATCATGATGAGTGAGTGAGTTTGGTTTTACGCCGCTTTTAGCAATATTCCAGCAATATCACGGCGGGGGACACCAGAAATGGGCTTCACACATTGTACCCATGTCGGGAATCGAACCCGGGTCTTCGGCGCATGATGATGATGATTCCAGCAATATCACGTCAGGTGGGCTGTTTGTGTGGCTGTTGCTGTTGCTGACATGGATCCTTTCAGCAATGCAGCCCCAAATAGTTCCCCGTACAACGTAATTATGTTTCTCAAGATCGAAACGCTTTCTTTCATTCGGTAGTCACGACTTTGTTAGACTAGAATACATGTAAATACTGCCTTTATTCCATTGGCCGTCAAAGTCACGTGCATTTGTCTTTTTTATTGTGGCAACTGAAGGTTTTATTGAGCATTAGCTTTACATCCATGTCTTTTGTAGAGATTAATGACCGGTTTAAACAAACAGGAATAATGATCCCTCCCTGCCCTCAGAGAACTTCCTGTGAGCACGCGCCGCCATGTTTATTTTATACTTAACTCTCGTGGCACGCGCAAACAGTCCAACTTCCCAAGGTCATGTGATTATTCAATTAACCCATTCTTCCCCCCAAAACTAGCCCCATGCAAACAGATCAACATTCCAACAAAGAGCAACGTGACAATTTCTAAATTTACACCAATGTTATTTCAAATAATAAACACCCATTCAATAGCGGAAACGTTCAGATCACGAAATAGCTGGGCAAAGTCACTTGAGACGCAAAACATATGAAAGTTCATGTTATTAATTGATATTTACAGAAGAAAAAAAATACAATTTTACATTGTCAAAGTCTCAATGGCAAATATCCCTCGTTACTCAAGTTACCTTAGAAATATGCTTGCAATGTGGCAAGTTCTCTTTCCGTTGCACAATAGGCGACTGTTGTACAGACGTTGTACAACACATTGCCGTGCAGGTGTCAATATCTTCAGCAGCTTCTCAAAGCCTCTAGATACCCAGTAGGGCGCATAGGCTATTTGAAACGAGAGCCTTGATAGCATGACATACACCGATACCCTCGTGCATTGGTTTGTTACAATGCGTACCCACGGATGCTCCGTTTATCAGATTTATTTCATCGCCCGTCACTGAACGTACCTTGAACAGTTGCCTTCTGACATCCATGACATTAACTGAATCTAAATTATCTGTAACCCAAGGTTCTTTGTATGTATTTTTCTGAATCATATCAATTTAAAGAGATCGTTACCGTGAATGATCGCCATTGAACTTTCATCGTAATTAACAGATAAAGTGGATCTGTCGAAAACTTCTCCAACCCAGCACGAACGTGATGCAAATCTTAGACGTTTAATACTTAGGTGAAACCCACAAGGACGGGTATGGTGCCGACAACGAAAGGATCTCAATCAAAGCGAATCTGTGATTTGAACCCACGATCAGTAGATCCGGGCACGACAAAGGGACGCAACTCAGGAGAGCGAATTGCGGCGCCCTACACGACTGAACCACTCAATAACAGAAACTCGTCAGAACTCTTGATATATACAAGACATACACTTGTGCATCTGTCTCGAAAGATGTCCAGTCAAACACAGCTAAGGGATGACAGCATAGAGAGGCGTCATTCTGTCATGTTCGCGTAGACACCAGGTCTTTGTCAGTGACACCACATGTTTTTTTTATCATATTACACATTTGGCGACAGGTTGCGTAAACAGACAATCTACTTACTTCATATCAATCGACATATTTTAAAAGAGGTCTGACGCGACTTTAAAATAGTTCAGTGTTGATTTACATATATACACAGTGTGCGTGACGTCACAATGGCGCCTGAAGTCCGTGTGTGTTCACACCAACCACCGCGCTCTAATGAGTACACGGCAAGTATAAATATATACACCGAGTCTGATATTCTTTGTCTGGCCCAACAGTCCGACCTTGGCCACGTATTCATTTATCCTAGATATTGACAGTTTTCTTAAATCTTTCGTTTAAAAACTGACTAAAACATGTAAAACAAATTCCCCTGTATGTTACCTGGTGCAAGAGTCCACAGAATATGTTTGTGGTGGGTGTCCGCGGGGAGTTATGGCCCCAGAGTGAGTGAGTGAGTTGGGATTAATGATTAATATTTTAGTTATATCATGCGTGATCCTGATGTGAAGTCTGTCCAAGTGACGCAGGTTGTTTCCTACTTTGGTGAAACCAACGGCATTATGCTGACCAGCGGATTCTGGCAAGGTCAAGGGAGGCAACTGTGCAAAGCGAATCCCGGCACCTTGGGCTATTGTGTCGCCCGTGGACAATAGACACTGATTAGGTTGCCAACACTCAGAACAAATTTCTTGTGACTTCCATCCGAGAGGGTAGGTTGGATAGCCTAGTGGTTAAAGCGTGCGTTCGTCACGCCTAAGGCCCCAACTTACTTCTACGCCCATATCTGGCGCAGTGGTTATGCTGGAATTTTGCTACTAGCGACGCAACGCCTTCCTCACTCACACCCCCGGGGTATCACATCCCGAGTGGCCCAGGCGTCGTTCGAATCCCGGTTCGCCCCAATTGTGTTTCTAGGTTTGTCAGCACCATACGTGTAGTCGTGGGTTTCACCGAAGTGGTAAACGTCTGAGACCCGCATCACTTCGGGTTTTCCTCCCACATTAAGCTGACACGCCGTGATATAACTGAAATACTGTTAAAAGCGGCGTTTAACCCGACTCACTCACTCACTGTATAATTTCGTCTCATTCTATGTTTTTACATCTTTCACGAACACCTGGTGTCATCACTGATTTTCAGTGATCCATTCATATATTTATCACCGCTATTTTCCTTGCACTCCAATGGAAACTGTTTCGGCGGATAATCGAGACTGGTCATTCCCTGGCGTTGACGTTTTATATTCACATGCATTAGAAATACTAATCAATGATATCTACGAACCATCATATACGTAGAGAGTTTTTTGCATCACCTGTCTGCTCCATAATATTCAAACCATACAATGTTCCCTAGAGAATGTTGACTTATCAAGTCCCGATGTATAACGTACAAACCTAAGACTCTCCCCTCCAAGCAGATGAATACAACAGTATGATTTACCCTACTTCAGGAACCGCCCGGTCTCTATATAAATATTCATGGGATAAATAGCACATTCAACAGGTCCTACTATTTATATCCAGTGAAAGCATCAAGTCTTTAATCTCTAGCTGATTCAGAAGGGAACACCTGGATTAATTACACCTGTCCGCCCCCGCCACACACGTAATGTCCCAGATGCCCAATACCAGGATCATATGGTGAACGCGCTGGAGATAATCCTTGCCACTCTGTGGTCTTTAGTCGTGCACAAGCTTCAAAGAAAATGTTATCCTTGTGACTAGTGTCAGTTTGAATGATGACTAGTTGCTAGGTCAGCTCATTGTGCTGGCTATGCTTTAAAAAATACTTTCTTTGCCTATCGCCGTCATTGAGATTCGAACCTACTACAATGTCATTGTACAAAGTTACAGCCTCTGGGCGATGATGTAGATCTAGTGTTACGCAGTAGCTAGATCGGTGCTTCTAAACGTAATACTGAACATATCAACTTAAAGGTTTGGTCTACACTCTTAAGGAGTAAGAATACTATTAAATTAAAAGTCTGTAAATATAAACATCAGATTAAAAAACAGCACTGAATAATTTTTAGATACATACAAACAGGAATAACTTTTTCTGATTGGAATCGGATTAATTTAACCAAACACGAGAAAAAAATTAAGTGTTGCATAGTATATTTCATTTTGAGAAGAACAGAAAGCTGTCAAATTAATTACCACAATCTCAAGAGGCTTCGTGATGACATCATCCGATATATGTATTTTATTTTTACGTCACGCTTACATTATAATGCACGCATAACACTGACAGGCACCCCCACAACCCCACGTTACTGTCACACTTATCAATCAACAAAAATATTTAATTTTTTCACTCCATTGTGGACGATCACTGGCGCTGTTAAGACATGCATTTCCACATCATACACCTATCTGTGGAAGCTAAAATATATTTATTAACTCTATAACTCTATTACCCATAATGCATGCTAAAAATAAACCTATTGAGAAAATCGTTTTTTAAGTCAGTATTAGGATGCGTAATTGTCTTGAATATGAAGGTCAAAATCTGTCATCATTGGTAAAACAATTAATAGTTCAATAAAGTAATATGGAAATCAATAAAACACTTACCTTAAGAACGACAACTGTGAACACAAGCAAAGAAAGAATCATTTTGACTCAGTGTAAGTCCACACAGGGCACACAACGTCCGACAAGTCCAGTGTTTTAAAACCAGGAGTTTGCTTCTTCTTCACGCAAGCACGTATCTCTGATAATCCTGAGAAAACTGCCTGTTTTATACTCTTTTACCACACGCCAATCCGTAAACTAGACTTAACCAGTGGGCGAGCGTTACCTCATTTTACTCAACACCGGTGAAATGTTAGCCAATCACATGACTTGTTGTTGGGTCAGAGTTGAAGGGTCAGTTATCTGACCTCGCTATACAGCATGGACGCATAGCATGTCATCTACCAACACGTGGGCAGGCCAAACACCCCCTGTCCAGCACACGGTTCTAGTATAGTCAAACTTTACCTTCTAGGTATTAAACACATCGTTTCCATTCTTCTTCTCCATAGTGGATGAACTTGTTCTCTATGGAGTGTAGAATCACTGTGAGAATATATTCAGAAAATGTTCATGTCAGTTTGGACAAGCAGTTATTATGTAAAAACTTTGCATGTTGTTGCAAGTTGGGGAAGTTAGCCGAGTTGAGCTGTTTGTGGGACTGCACAGCAACCGCTTTACAAATATTGACTTTGTGTTAATGCACACTTGGGTTTCAGTCAAACATTACGATTCCATTCTTTACTCTTTCCCAGAAGAATATATACACAAGTTTATTTAAGAGCCTTTTGAAATTTAACATTAAGAATGAAGTAAACTTACAAAACACAAATACATGCGCTGCATAAAAAAGCTTATATCAATTTCGCCATGCTAGATAGAGCTTTAAGACGAATTCCTACGTCTGTTTTCATTGTTCGGTGTGAAAGGGGAAAATGCTTCAAGGGTTTCTTTGTGCATTGTACTTACGTCCACACAAAACAAACTCATGCTTTTGATCAGATAGGGTTATCTAAAACACATGTGAATGAAGGTTTGTGGTACGTGTATAAATGATAATCTGATAACCATGTTACAATGTATCCGCTTCCATGAAATTACTTTTCAGACCAAAGATTATTTTGGTAACAAAGTGATGCAAGTCGCTGACAAACCAATAATATGGGATTCGAACTCGCAATCATAGGGACACACAGGGATACAGCACTGTATTGGGAATGGCTCACCTGAAACCCCCTTAGGAGATGTGAATATGGAACTAACTGATTGTAGTGAATACTTCTACGTTCCTGTTCACACTGTTCACAGTGACATGAGCGATGACATCAAATTCATGCTTTCAGTACAAGAATGGCGAAAAGGGGGATCCTTTATGATTATGATAGTTGCCCATAGTACAACATATTTCTAAATAATGCATCGAAGTTTAACGATGATGAACGACGGTTTGTTTCTTTGTTGTTTTTTGTTTAACGCCACACTCCAGCTATACGACTCCAGTAATATTCGAGCTACATGACGGCGGTCTTCAAGTCTGGACCAGACATTCCAGTGATTGACATCATGAGCATCGATCCACGCATGGGATACGATGACATGCATCAACCAAGTCAGCGCGCCTGACCACCCGATCCCGTTAGTCGCTTCTTACGACAAGTATAGTCGCCTTTAACGGCAAACATGGGTTGCTGAAGACCTGTTCTAACCCAGATCTTCACGGGTGTTGATAAACGACGGTAGTTTAACGTGGTACCAAACGTGGTCTTCATGGACGACCAACATAGCTCAACGTGATACAACCGGTAATGTGTATGTACGACCATCGTAGTGCAACGTGGTACAAAACGCAGTCTTCGTATTACGATTATCACAGTTCAACGTAGTATAAAACGCAGTCCTTATGATCATGTATGACCAACGAAGTCCACCGTTGTCCAAGACGTAATCTTCATGTTACGATTATCGTAGTTTATCGTTGTCCAAGACGTAATCTTCATTTTACGATTATCGTAGTTTAACGCTGTCCAAGGCGTAATTTTCATGTTACGATTATCGTAGTTTAACGTTATCCAAAGACGTAATCTTCATGTTACGATTATCGTAGTTTATCGTTGTCCAAGGCGTAATCTTCATGTTACGATTATCGTAGTTTATCGTTGTCCAAGGCGTAATCTTCACGTTACGATTATCGTAGTTTATCGTTGTCCAAGACGTAATCTTCATGTTACGATTATCGTAGTTTAACGTTGTCCAAGGCGTAATTTTCATGTTACGATTATCGTAGTTCAACGTTATCCAAAGACGTAATCTTCATGTTACGATTATCGTAGTTTATCGTTGTCCAAGGCGTAATCTTCATGTTACGATTTTCGTAGTTCAACGTTGTCCAAGACATGATCTTCATGTTCCGATTATCGTAGTTTAACGTTGTCCAAGACGTAATCTTCATGTTACGATTTTCGTAGTTCAACGTCTTCCACCAAGTAAGTTTCATGTTACGATTATCGTAGTTCAAAGTTATCCAAAGACGTAATCTTCATGTTACGAGTATCATAGTTTAACGTTGTCCAAGACGTAATCTTCATGTTACAATTTTCGTAGTTCAACGTATTCCACGAAGTTATTTTCATGTTACGATTATCGTAGTTCAACGTTATCCAAAGACGTAATCTTCATGTTACGAGTATTGTAGTTCAACGTTATCCAAAGACGTTATCTTCATGTCACGATTATCGTAGTTTACTGTTGTCCAAGACGTAATCTTCATGTTACGACTTTCGCAGTTGACTATGTTTTCGCTTATTTATTCATGGGCAAAGATAATTATTCAAATAACGGCGTCCTTTTTTAATATTTTTATATACACACGCACGCACACGCACATGCACGCACATGTACGCACACACATGCATGCGCGTTGCTATGTAAGTGCAATAATCGTTAACGCGACGTTAAACCCCATATCACCTCACCTCACTTCACCTGTTTACAACCGTTACCAGGACTCCCATACCTCCGACATATTACGCAACTCTCACAGGTATCGCAGAAGAGAGATGTTTACATTGGACTTACATTAAGTTTACACACTTACAAGCCTTCGTATATGGCAGGCCATTGGGGACACATTTCCTGGATGCTCGAGACGACGCAGTATGATTAAGATCGGTCAGTGTTGATAACGGTTGTCTGTGTTTTTGTGCAACTCAACGGATGGGTGGAAGCGGGATAGGTCGAAGAAGAATGCCGTATTATTACAGTACACTGAAAGGAAGTATGAGGAATATTCGCAGAGTTCATTCATCTGAGGGGATGCTGTTGATTAAATGTCAAGGACCAGGACTACAACATTCGTAGCATACTAGCCATTGGCTTGCATACGTAATATTCTTTCAAACACATTTTCTCGTTCCGGTATGAAGATGAGAAAATATTCCTCAACAAGGACAACTACATAAAAAATATGTCCGATTTGGACATGTTAAATCGTTTTACTTAAAAAGCATTGTCGTATTTACGTTTACTTATGATTGACGGACTCCGTGGTCTAGTGGTTAGAGCGTTTTCCCGGAGGGCTGACGTTCGGTGGTTCGATGCCCGGCAGCGTGACACAAAACGTGGTATTTGTTGTTGCCTGACGCTCGGCATTAAGTGGATACAAGAAGGACTACAAGAAATCACGGGAACATATGCTACATGCCTATATAGGGAACACCATTTTTGTCCTCCACATGTCTACCATAAAACTTTTTGAAAGGTTTACTTAAACCTTTTGAAAGTTTTTCTTAGGCCTTGAATGTTGTTGATCAAACTTTGATAAAAAAAAACTTCTCCGCAAGAGTCTTATGACGCTCTTTGAAATCTTGGTAGAAAGACCGTGCTCGACTGTACCTCAAGAGTTGTGAAATGTAGACACCAAAGCTGGAGCTGCTGGAATATTGCTCGACATGAAGGGAAAGCTGACTATTGGAAAGTTGAAGTCACCCCTCTTGTCATACAGTCTTGTAGGGAGTGTTTTGTCACTCTGAGTGAGTGAGTGAGTGAGTGGGTGAGTGAATATAGTTTTACGCCGCTTTTAGCAATATTCCAGCAATATCACGGCGGGAGACACCAGGAATGGGCTTCTTTGTCACTCTGAATATTTATGCATAGATCTAAAAACAAAACAGACGAGGTGGTCTCACTGGTCCAGCTCAGGTGGGTAAAGGGAATTGGCTGTTTGATGGTTATTGAACGATATCAGATAATCGATATACCTGAAGCTTATTATAAGTTAAACATTTTGGCCAAATTACCTTGTTTTGACTTTGCCAATCTGAGCAATTCATTTGCATAAAGAAACAGATCAGCCAGAAGGGAAGTCTTTCCCCAATATTTTACATAGATGTTATTAATGAGGAAGTCCAGCATTTCACATATTGAGGAAAATTATTTAAACCAGAAGCTGTCACTGGACAGGTGAGGTATGTGGCTGCTTGTACTAGTCCGGACTAATGCCGTCTTATAGTGCTAGCCCACTGAGATACCATGTCGCAGTTTAACATGGATACCCCACACAAAAAAAACAGTATACTGACTCCGAGCCGACCTGTCCTTGTTTTATCCCCTTAAGGCCGAACGCCTGAGAGGTTAACGACAAATACGATATTTTAACGTCTTTGTAACAGTTTGGTATGACGCGGCCAGGGATCGAAACCCCGAACTTCTGCTATCCTGCCAGACGCTATATCATCTATCGGCCTACCTGTGAACAGAATAAAGATCCACAGGTAAATTACTCTTTCGGGGATCCAAGCATCTAATTTGATCACTATTTTGCGTTTTACGCGCAATTGAATCTTTTCGGAGTTTACATTATGGATTTAGACAGATTGATATATATTTAAGAACAGGCAGGCATGTAACAAAATCCCAAATATTTCGAAAATCATGTTTCAGATTCAGCTCATAACGATATGCTATTGACTGAATTCTTCAACAGCTGCCATGGGACTTAAAAGGAAACTAAAGTATGTCATTGTTTTAAAGAATTTCAAATGGTGTTTCCAATAAAGGCGATAAAAAACCTTGACAATAGTGTTTTCCTCGTAGCGTTAGGCGTATAGAGACACAGCAAACGCCTTCGCCAGCAAGGTGGCGCCGTGAAAATCCCACAACACCCTGACATTTGGGTGATATTATGTTTCATAACGGTCAGTAGCTGGGTTGTAAACAAGGTAAACAACTTTCTTAAGGGTAAAGAGAC